AGCAAATGCTTGGTAAATAATAAAGATTTCAGCTTTGTTACTCTACTCTGAAATTCCAAGGACTGTCTTTGTGTCCACTGTGCATGCATTGGGATAGACTTTCAAAATCTTGAGTTGCTAGACTTTATGGTCTGCAAGTGAAAAATGGATCGTGAAATCTGATTGGGAGACTGAATTTTACAGGGAAGAACATTTCCAAAAAGTACAAATATGAATGGAAGAGCACGTGTATTTTTCCTTTAAAATTAGAACTGTGGGGTGTTTAAGACTCACAACTGTACCACTAAAAAAATTTTTTTTCTTTTTTTCCTCAGTTCAGAACTAAGCTGCCTTTTAACTGCTGTTTAACTGTTAGAATATGAGGGCATGATTTTAGAGAGAGGAGAGTTTGACTAGCCTATGAATGTCTGCAGGTGATTATTTTCATGAGACTAGGGCTGGGCTCTAATAATATTTTAGTAAATAAATGTTGCTGAAAATTTTAAGTAAACAAAGTTCAGACATACTGAACTTTAGAATTATTTGTAGCAAAAATGGCTCAGATAGCTTTCTATCTGGTCATAGTGTGATTTGCCCAGCCCTAATCAAGATCAAACAATAACACAACTGTACAGACCAGTATAGTAATAAATTGATTTTAGTTGATAAATGTCAACTGATAACTTGTCTTTTGAAATGTATAACATTAGTAAGCTTACTTTTTTTTCTCCTCACTGTGCAACTTTTCCAGGTTTGGACCTTATGAGTCTTACGACTCCGGGTCTTCTCTGGGTGGGCGAGATCTGTACAGATCTGGCTATGGTTATAATGAACCCGAACAAAGCCGCTTCGGAGGTAGTTATGGTGGTCGATTTGACAACTCCTACCGGAATAGCCTTGACTCTTTCGGAGGTAGAAACCAGGGCGGGTCTAGCTGGGAAGCACCTTACTCCCGTTCAAAATTGAGGCCTGGGTTTATGGAGGACAGAGGAAGAGAGAGTTACTCTTCCTACAGCAGTTTTTCTTCACCCCATATGAAGCCTGCACCTGTAGGCTCTCGGGGGAGAGGAACGCCTGCTTATCCTGAAAGTGGATTTGGAAGCAGAAACTATGATGCTTTTGGAGGACCATCAACAGGCAGAGGCCGAGGCCGAGGAGTAAGTACAGAATCTTTTCAGATTCTTTTCACTAGACACTCTTTTAAACCCTTTCAAGACCACTGCTTTAAAACAAATGCACTGTTCGGTACAGTGTGGGGTTTTTGTCCAAGCAAACTATTATGGTTGACAATGTTGTTTACGCCCTTGAAGCTGTCTTTAAGTAGAACCCTGTCCCTCTTTCTGTTGAAAGTAATGAGTAATAGAAGACTAGTTGATAAGGTTTGTTAAATCTCTCCTTTTGTTTGAAAGGTGAAGATAAAAGTAATAGGTTTGGTCTAAAAGGGATTAAAAGGACTTGCATTTTTCCTTGTAAACACTAGCATCTTTGCTGCTGGTGGGGAAATTCTTGAATACTGTAAAAGTCTAATTCAAAGCCTTTTGAAGTTTTGAGTAGGTTAAAGGTGCAATGTATAAGTAAAAAAATAAAACGCAGGTTGTGAATGCCAGAGTAGTTTTTGTTTCCTGTAAAGGTAAAAGTTTAGGTAATTCTTTAATATGTGCTTTATCAAACATCAAGTCGTCTTTTAAACTTCTTACTTTGACTTGTGTATTCAAAGGGTGGTGGGGAGGAAATGGCAAAGGTGGGTGGTTAGCAGTTACAGTGATTCTTGTTCAAAATTAGAGCATGGTTAAAGGGGCATCATCAACTTGAAATCAGGTCCTTTCGCAGAATTGAGATTAATTTCCAGATAGTGTGCCTAGTCCTGTTACCTCTATTTAATTTTGTTTTGAAGACTTATGTTCTCACTCCTTTTCAGTAGATTCCTTTCCAGTATAGGATGTAAAAACTGTATGTCCAAGAGACAGCAAGATTAACTGTACACAAAAGTAGTGGATCACAGTTTGGAGAAGTAATGGTTGATGTTAAATGAACTAGGGGAAGAAAAATACAACAGAAGAGAATACAAAGAAAAATCCTGACAGAAGCACTAACTTTAAGTTGATGGTGTCCCTTTATCTTGCTTTTAAATCCCAGTTCTGATTATGGTTTGTTTTTTTAAGCATGAAGAGTTCAGTGAACATTTTTCTGCCTGTGCCTCTAGGTGTAACTTATCTTTTAAAATTCTTAAGTGTGCCATATTTCTTTGGGAAGCAATTCTTTAATATTAAACCATACAACTTCTTTGTAGCTTGAAGTATAGAGGAAGATTATTTTTTACTGGGTCTTTTAAATGCCTAATTGTGCGGTGATTTTGTTTCAGGAAGTCTACTTTGTAGTATTCTTGAGTACTATAGTTGCTATATTCAAATTTTAGCTCAGATTTGCACATGGCTGCTAGCTAGCATGTAGCATGGTATGAGAAATAGGTTCTAATCTTTATGTTTCTCTGCTTGTGAAGCTGAAAGTGTTGGGTTCTTAAGCTTGGATGCCATCCTTTCAGAACTCATTTAGATCTGAAAGTTTTGTACAGAGTTACAGCCAGATACCCTTATTTCTTTTTTTTTGTTTTGATTTTGAAATTTATCTTTTTAGTCTTTCATGTAATAAAGGAGAATGTAAAGGCTAAACTACTTAGCATATGTAAAATGCATTGCACCTTTAATAGATAGACTGTTTTAAGAAAAAAAAAAAGTACTTTAAATTATCCAAATGCCTACTTCATGTCAAATTCAGATGTGTACAGTGTAAATGTACATGCTAGGTAGTTCTGTAACTGTCAACTAAATAAATTAACATGGAGATCTAGTGCATGGACTTCTGATTAAGAAAAGTGCCTGTCCTGGTACATTTTGTCTGTCATTTAAAATCTGCTTTTAAAAGTCATACTTTTCACAAAGTGTGTTGAAGTTACTTTTATGTTGTTTTAACTTTGATAGTGTAATACTAATTCTCTTCTCATGGCAATACAATTATTTCTGCTTATCCAAGTCACCCATCCAGTCAGTGGGCTCTCTTCTGCCCTTTATTAATCAAATAATTGAGTTAATATTAAGAAGTATGTTAGTGCTTTGGAAAATACTACAGCTACCTAAATTCTCCCTCTTCAGATTACTCATTTATTCCATGACTTCAGAGAGGTAACTTTCATAAGCAAGTATCCACAAATGACTGTACAGCATTTTAGAAATAATAGAAAGGTTTAGTCTTTCAACTGAATTTTCATTCTTATTGCTGCCATGTTTTTCTGTTGCTCCCTCCAGGCCCAACTTATAAATTCTGAAGGACAACCTTCTTTACTCAGTTTTCAAATCACTACTAATTGTTTGGCATAAAGAATCTGCTTTTTTGTGTGGTGGTTTGGGGTTTTTTTGTTGTTTTTGGGGGGGTTTTTTGTTGTTTTTTGTTTTTTAATGACTGCTGACTAAAGTGTTGAAAACTGGGCTGGTTAGCTCTGTTTTTTCACAGAGGGAGAAGTCATTTATCATCTAGAGAATCTGAAGAGAGGAGCCAAGATGTTAGGCTGAGATATGAACTCTGATAGACGTGTTCATTGTCTGGACAATGGTTCTGAATAAGCAGAAACACAGTTTATACATATGTATTCATTCTACTGGACAAACACCCACAAAGCCATTGTACATCAAAACATCAAACTGGGAACTTAAATTTCCCCTGCATTTTGCTCTAGAACGCAGATTTTACTTAGTTCGCAGTTTTATTGTACCAAGTAATTGTTTTATTTCCATTGATTTCATATACTAATACCTTTCTCTTGATTTCACAAATTTTCAGCATATGGGAGACTTTGGAGGAATGCACAGACCTGGAATTGTTGTTGACTATCATAACAAACCCAGTCCTGCAGCAGTTGCTGCAAGAGGAATAAAAAGAAAAATGATGCCACAGCCCTATAACAAACCTGGTGGGACATTTATCAAGAAACCCAAAATGACAAAACCCATTTTGAAGCTGAGCCAGAAAAAATCACCTAGTAAGTAATAAGTACCGAAATTCTTAAGTTACAATTAATAATTTTTTTTTAGTTCATTGGGAGTTATTTAGTCTTAATATTCAGAAAGAAGGTTGTATGTGCTGTTTTGTAATTCTTCATTTTCTACCTTTGAAGTATTCTACAACAGATTTTCTGAATTTTCTACTGCAAAGATAATTTGCTGAATGAAATTGAATATTTTGATGTGTTTAAATATATACTGCTGAAGACTTTCATTTAGACTTTACAATGATACTTCCTGGAGGCAAATTTTCACTACTGAAAACAATTTCAGATCTCAAGTTTCCTTAAGTGACAATGCCTGACAAATATTAAACGTGCCCTTGCTTGAGCCTATACTTTGATGAATATAAAAAGTAGTGTACTGACTGCGGTGCAGCTGAAAGACATAAGGTGTGAGTGAAGAGGAGAGGGAGGCAAACAGAGATAACAGTGAAAAATACTTTAGAATAATTTATGAAAGGTAGAGAGAGATTGCTCCTTCTTGTAAATGAAATTCCATAGTGAAGAGCTGGAAATATGATAGATAAACTGGATATATACATTACAAAGTATTAGTGGTGCTTGATTTAGTGTCCCTAAAGAAGCTACAACTCTACAACTTCAATAATTCTGATATTGCAGGTAAAGCTGGAGGGAAAAAAGTCACTAATGAGGTTTGAATAAATTACATGCTTTGAGGGAGTGTAGACTTGAGGATTAAATATTATGAATGGCATGTACAGCAGTCAAATTTTGGGGTTTTGTGCTTGTAGTTTCCTCAGTAATTTGGATCTGCAGTGTTTATGTAGTTTGGTTTCACATCACACCAGAAAAATGTTTAAAATAACTTTAACTCAGAGCTTGCGAGGTAAATGCACAGACTTGGCAGAAACTTCCACATGTTTTGTGGAGTTTGATATAGGTGATTGCTTCTAGAAGACTGTTTAGTTTATATTCCTAAGGATGACTGGTTTTACATTTAGTATTATTACTAAAAGATGATAAATGTAGATGTAAACTGTCCCAGCTGCATAACAAGCTGGACTTTTTTTCCTAAATATCTTGTTGCCTTAAAATGAATTGACAGTGACAGCACTTTTGCATTATTTATTTCTTCACTTTATGTTTATAGACATGAAGACGTCTTTCCAGGATTCTACTATAGAGGTAAAGATTCCCAGAATTGGAAAATATTTGTGATTTTTTTCAAAAGTTTGTACAGTATACCTTAAGATGAATAATTATCAAGCTAGATTTATAAAAATTAAGCACTTCGGTTTAGAAAAAATATATAGTGTGTTGTTTTTTTCTTCACTTTATCTAAAACTGTCATATTTTGTGGCAGTCTGAAATCCTTACTAATTTCAAATGCAAGGTGTAGCTTGTGCAGATTGCCTGGAAAATGAATTTTGAAGTGTATTTGTAGACCCTAACCTATTCTTGTAATGCACAGAGAGCTGTCATATGGATACCACTCCTGTTGTCATAGGTAGTCAGCTTGAATTCATACACCTATGACCTGCTTGGATGGGTTGAGAAATTAAGGGACAGGGAGATTACTAAACAGCAATGAGGAAGAATGGATAAGATGTAAGACACATCAAGGAGAGAGGGCAAATAACCCCCCCCCTCAGTGTTAACAGGTGTTCTCTGTTAGGGTACAAAGATTAGTTGCACCTACAGAAAGATCAGTTGCAACAAAATGTAAGAATGTGATTAGTAAGCTAAGCATGTATATATATTCTGGTTCCATGTTGAATGACTGGAATGTTGTTTTCCTTCTTTTTGAGTGGAGATATTAACATATTCTCAACTAAGTATTTAAAAGTCTTAATTGGAAGTCAGAATAATTATGTAGAAGACAGTGAGAATTTTGATTGTGAAACTAATTCATGAAGACTTCAAAGCATTAAGGAGAAATGCATAGCTTGAAGTGTTTGTACACACAGTCTAAGTAGATACTCGATTTGCTTTCTTCCATTGTCATATTTGATAAATAGCAAGTAACAGATTACTGGGAAAAAAATTAATTTGCACTTTTTTTCTGTATTCACAATAGCATTGGGTTTTTTCTTACAAAATTTATGGATTTGACTTTATTAGGAAATTGAAGTGGACACAAGTGGTGCAGTTGTTATATATGAAGACTTCACAAGAGATGCTTATGATCTTGGATATCAGACTTTTGGAGGTAAGTCAGTTTGCTTTGTCAGGTAAAGTATTGTATTTGTGTGACTTTGAGTGGATAGATTTAGTAAGCCTATATGTATGAGCTTTAATAGTTATTGAGTAGCATGACTTGTTTGGGTTGGTTTTTTTAAGAGTTTATAAATTTAGGCCATGGACAAGATGATTGTAACATCCATCCATCACTTGTTCTTTATATGCTTCTTGTCTCTCTGCTTTCTGATCGCTTCTGTATGTTGTTGCTTGACTTGTTTTAATTTTGTGAAATTAATGTAAATGATCTTCTACACTTACTGCCATTCCATTGCTTAAATGTTGTTTATCCCACCAATTCCTCACCCATATCCTATTATTTATCCCACTAGCTGATCAACCTCACCCTTAAATCGTAGGTGAGTCACTTTTATAAAAGTGGATTTGGTTAACTCGGAGAGCTGCTCTCAAGAATGTGGGGTCTATTTCATGTGCAGTCTTAATGAAACAGGTTAATTATTAGTTTACATAAAATCAGCTAAAGTATCTATTAACTGTAGTGATTTCAAACACATACACAAAGAAATCCAGTGTTAAGACTGAAACTATTTTCAGTCCCCTTGTGTGCTGCCCTGTTGTGTATGTAGTCTAATCTTATGGTAAGGAGTGCTGGAAATTTGCAGCCAACTGATTGGAGTTTCTTTTCTTGAAATAGTATTTTTTTGTTGTGTTTTTTCTTTAATTATGTGGGTTTTTTGATTTTTGAAAACTTGCATAAGTGCACTGAAGGAAAGTGGGAGCCCCACTGGGGCGTCCCAGTTTATATGTAGGTTCCAGCTTCCAGTCCCCAGCTTGTAACAGGATGGACACTTGAATTCATGAGCTTGAAGGGTAAGATACAGGCCATTACACTCCACAGAATGTTATACTAGGTGATTTTTTTTACAGCAGTAAAACAAGTGATCCTTTCCACATTTCCAAGGTTGGTGGTAAGGCACTATATGAAATTTAAATCCTAAGATCAGTAATGGGAATTGCCTCTGTGGGTGGGTGTGTTTTTTCTTTTCAAATTGAATTAAGAAAGAAAATCTTTTGGATAGGAGTTTTTCTCTTCTCTGGATCAGAGTAATTTTTGAAACTTCGCTACAAAATTAAAAACCTTGGGGTAATCAGGAATGAAGTGTAAGCTGTTAGTTTGTGGAAATGTGGCTCTGCAAGTGTCACTGAGTACTGAAAACAGAGTTTTTTACAAGGTTGGTTTTTTGTTTTGTTTTTTGTGTTATGCTGCTGTGTGTTCCTTTCTGTTGCTGTTTGGATGGATGGAGGTTTCATGGAGGCTAACCTCTCTCCTAAGGTTGAGCTGCAAGGGAAAACTTAAGTGATGGTTTTTTTCCTGCTCTAAAACTACTTGTCAAATAATATTCTAATTGTTTCCCTTTGTCTATAGACTTCTAAAGCAGACATAGGAAAGGCAAGCACAAGAACACTTATGCATAAAGTTAATGTCCTTAGAAGTCTTTAATGTTGCAAAACTAATTTCTAGTCATTTATTTGTTTGTGGTCTTACTTATATGTCGGGTGATAATTTAATGAAGCTCTTTGAAGGTTTGGTTGGCTTTTTGTTATGTGGTGATTTCCCCTACCCCCCCACAGCAGGCTCTTCCTCCACTGGTTTGTTTCTTCAGCTGAAAACCTTTGGAACATTTTTCTGTGAAATCAAGTGAAGTCTAGTGGGGAAAAATAATAAAAGTTGTTCAGTTTGGGGACTGTACCTTTAACGAAACACTGCCTTGTCTCCTTTGAGAACCTTTGCTTTTGTTTTTGGGATCTGCTTTCTCAGCAGAAGAGAATGGCTTTAGATGGTTTCTTTTTATGTAAGGGGATTGTAGCAATGGTGCTCTAAACCCATGGAAAGTTTTAAATAATGTGCCCGCAGTACCCTTTCCTGGTCACTTACTTGAAGAGGCCTTTAGCAACTGCACAACAGGGTAGGGTTTGCTTTAACTTTTGTGACTGTAACCGTTTTACTAAGTTTTCATTGTTAGAAGTAAATGTTTAAATTGGTTGTCTTTAGAGGAGGAAAACAAAGCAAAACTTCTATGGCATTTAAGTCATTGAACCACTTTGCTGTAGGGTCTTGGCATTTTGAGGTGTTTGTGGAGGAGCCAGGGAAGACAGATACTTTTACTGGTGTATGTGTGTATGTGTGGTTTTGGGTTTTTTAATGTAACATTTTAAATCCTTCTGCTGTATGTTAAGATGGTAAAGGAGAAGTTAAAAGTGAAGAAGAAGAAAAGCGGCGAATTGAGGCCAGAAGAGAGAAGCAAAGGCGTAGAAGGGAAAAAAACAGTGAAAAATATGGTGATGGATACAGGTTTGTGCTATAACTTCTGTCTTGTGTGCAGTGTTTTTCTCCCCCTTTATCCTTCTTTCCTGAAAGCCCCTTTGGACTTATTTTAGGAAAATAAAATGCAACAAAGAAATGACCCCCAAAACAAAGTGAAAAAAACTAACCCAAACAAACTCAAACCAAAACCTAGCACCCAAGTCCTGTAGCTTAGAAGACCAGATGTTTCACTGGACCTCTCCTGTATCAGAAAATAACCCTTCTCCCCCACAAGTGGCATCAGTGCACACTTGAGAAGCAGTTTGGAATGGTACTGCTTTTGAAGTATATAGTTCAGTTAAATATATATATATTCATGCTGACTTAAGCTGTTAGAAGATGATTTTATTCTGTTTTTATATGTATGGTGAGCTATTTTGTAGCAAAAATAACTCGATAGTTCTGTAACTTTTCTAGTCTTGCACAGCGAAATGGGCTAATGGCCAGCACTGTACAAAACTGTCAGCGCAGTATGTGATCATAACATTAGTGCCTTTTCCTCATTGTGCTGAGGAGGCTGTATTTCCTTATAAAGATTATATAAGTTCTGTATGGAAAATGAGCTTTAAATGAATTCTTTTGACTATTTGTAAATAGGAAATCAGGGAATGGTTTGACTGTGATAAATACTATAAAAGGTGACAAAAACTAGAGAGCTTGTGATAGATACGCTCACAGAATAGTCTGGCTTTTAAATAGCTAGCTTCTGATTTCAGCAGTATCTTTTGCATAGATAATTTATTACTCTGAGACTGGCCTGGTTTGTGTTTGGTTCTTATAGCAGTTACCCTTCATAATGGTAAAATACTGGATTTTTTTTTTTAATTTATTTTTCACTTAGGCTTCTTCAAAGAACACTTTTCCCATTTCTTTTCTGATTAGATTTGTCAAGTCCTCATAGTTTTGAGGAGAGAGGGAAGAATGTTTCTTTAATGGTAATATTATTTAATTATTTCTCTTGATAGAATGGCATTTACTTGCTCATTTTGTAAATTTCGAACATTTGAAGAAAAAGAAATTGAGTCCCATCTGGAGAGTGCAGCTCACCAGGAAACATTGGATCATATCCAGAAGCAAACCAAATTTGACAAAGTAGTGATGGAGTTTCTTCATGTAAGACAATTGGGTTTTGTTCTGTATAATATGTTTACATTAGAATGTAGTTAAAATTTACAATTTATCTTCAATATATGCTTAATTTATCATTCCTTTTGCAAATGACTTTTGGTATAGCATATATTACTAAAAGTTTGAAGCAAATTCAGAGTCTGTAAAATAGTGTTACAATTAAAATAGTGCCTTAAGAAGTAACAGCAATTAATTGCTATAACAGAGCTGTTCTGAGTAATATTTTAAGTGTAGGTTCCTATTGAAATATAAACAATTTTACATCAAATGTGTCACAGTTGGTTTTTTTTTTCTGATTCTCTGTAGGAGTGTATGGTGAATAAATTCAAGAAGACGGCTATGCGTAAGCAACAGACAAGCAACCAAACAGAAAATGCTCAAGCTGCTGAAAAAGATATAATGGAAGGTGAATAATGTGTTTTGTCCTTCTCTACTTTCATTCTTCTTCGAATTTGATATAATATTTGGATTAAAATTACTAGCTTTCACACCTTTTCTGTATCTGGTTGGAATTCCTTGCTTCAGTTCTGATACAATGTGGAATGTAAGCACAGTGGGCGATAGCAAACCTTATTTATGTTTGCTGTACCGTGTCGGAAAGTAAGATAACATTGTGCTAGGTACTTGACACACAGAATTATGTGGGCTTTGCCACAGCCCGATTCAGTATCGTGTGTGTGGAGTGACAACAGGTATCTGTTGATAGTTTGAAAGAGAGGGTGTAGTAAAGCAGTAAGGTGATAATGGTCAAATATGATGGCAAGGATCTGGATATTATAAGTGGAACAGTTGCTGTGATTTTGAGGGACACTGACAAAAGGAGGAGGAACACTTTCTTGTCTACCCAAGATGCATCTTGGCCTGAATTTCTTTCCCCTTGGCTGCCCTACGGGCAAGTTTTCTAGAGCATTTTGTGTGTCCCTGCCTTACTGTGCTGTATCCTTCCACTTTATCCTTTGCTTGAGGGATTTCAAAAGATATGTTAGAGCCAGAGGGGACATCTTTTGAGTACCTTTACTTTAGGCAATAATTGTATTTGAATATTACTTTAATTCAAATGTAAATGCTAAAAGCTACTTAAAAATGGATGTAGCCACCATCTTAACAGTCTCCCAAATTCTTTTTGTTTACTTTCCTGAAGTACTGGAGGACTTGTTTGCCTTTATGATCAGAATGTTCTGTTGGCAAACTAATATTTAAAATTGCAAGAGGAATTGGATTCATGCGCTTCCTCCTGGCAGTGAGAGGCAAGGAAATGAATTAGTTGTTCTTTTGAGGGGTAAACCAAACTACTTTTATTTCTTGTATCAAAATGTCTATTATTAAGGATATTAAGTATTGTTGATTTTTAAATAGACGGCATTTTTGTACGTTAAATAGTTCAATTTGATTGTTGTATCATTTTTATTTCCCTCTATTTAGGCAGGTAGGTGTTCATATATCATAACCTCAGCAAACATTATTGCGTGGGTCTCATATATAGTCTGTGGAGAGGAGGAGTTGGAATATCCAAGTGAAAAACTTCCTCCTTCAACATTGCCTTCAGAGACCCTAATTTTGATGCCTGAATTTTGGGTGAATATTCCCCTGTGGTTCAGTTCGACGTGTTTAACAACTGAGAGCTGTAATTTTCTGGTATAAAACAACCAGCCCCCTCTTCTACTTCCCTAGAATAACACGTTTTGTGTTAATGATTTGTTGCATCTTCTTTGGCAGGGGTTACTGCTGATGACCATATGATGAAAGTTGAGACTGTTCACTGCAGTGCCTGCAGCGTGTATGTTCCTGCACTACATAGTTCTGTTCAGCAGCACTTAAAATCTCCTGATCACACAAAAGGAAAACAAGTAAGATATGACATATTATTTATAAAAAAAGGCAAGCATAATCAGAAGTGTTATGGTACTCAGTGCAAGTGATGTCTAAGTTCTTGTTGGTATTACATGTTCTCTAGAAAGTTAGAATGTCCTTGTTACACTTTGTAAACATAGTGTCTCATGAAGTAGCAAGCACTTAAGCACCCCAGTTAATGAAACATTGATGTGCTTAAAAGGTGACAGTACTAAGTCCTGAGAAAGTTACTGGGAATGAGTTTTTTATTTTATGGGAATTTTTTTAAGTGTTGGAAAGATTTTGTTATGTAAATGCAAAACACAATACACATGTTTCCAGCAAGATAACAAACCTGGTGTCTTTTTTTTTTGCTTGGCTCTTGTCTTTTTTAATGTGAAGAAGAGCGAGAGCAGTTTAGAATTATCAGTGGTATGGTATTGGTCCCTGTTACAATTTATAATGATACACTTCTAAGGTTGGTAGAAGGGTTGAAAGAGTAGCACGAGTGGAAAAAAATCAGTTGTCACAGTAAGCAAGATTGTCAAAGTAATGTTTCATTTATATATGAGCTTCTGTGATTATGGAATATCGTAGAATGGTTTGGGTTGGAAGGGACCTTTAAAAGTCATCTAGACCAATTTCCCCTGCAGTGAGCAGGGACATCTTCAACAATATGCTTTTCCATCACAGCATAACATGCATGTTATCTGTAGATGAGAACAGGTAACTGTGGTGGTAGACAGGTGTGTGGTTGTAGTTAATTATATAAGCAAGACATGAACATATCTCTTGATCAAGCTAAAGCAACAAACTATGAACACTACCAAACTTAATAGAGCTTATTATGTGATTTGGACTTAAATGCTAAGAACGAGCACTTCATGCTGCAATACATTATTTTCCTTACAGAAACTGACCATGAATTCAAATTTGTGTGATAAATGTAATAGGTGTATGATGATAATTCACTGTAAAATTTGTTTCCTAGGCCTACAGAGAACAAATAAAAAGGGAGAGTGTTCTTACTGCCACCAGTATTTTGAATAATCCTATAGTGAAGGCACGATATGAGCTGTATGTGAAGGTAAGATGCAAATGGAAAAAAGTAATCTGTAATGTTTGCTATACCGCTATTTCTTCCATCATGATGCTGTTTAGCCTTAGTGCTCTGTGTTCTGTTCCTGCCTTCTATGTAGCTCACAGATTGAATATATGTTTCATGTATTTTGTCAGTCTCAGATCGTTGTCTTGGATAACTTTGCAGAAAAAATTACCACCTTCAGAATTACCAGCTTTGGGGTTTGGTTTACCATTTATATGTATATTAATTTTTAATTAGATACTCTTATTAAAAAAAATAATCACGCTTTAGGAAAGCATCAGCAGTGTCTAACTCGGTATGCGATACTAGCTGTAAAGCACAAAACACTTTATGTCAGTCTTTACATTTAGAGGCAAAGGCTCCAGCATGTGGTTTTGTACTAAAGTACAGTGCACACGCTACTCAGCTAGTTTTTATTCCACAGAATTTCTAGGATTCATGGCAGCATAGAAAAAAAGGAAAGCTTACAACAGTAGTTGTTATGATCAGAGAATTTAAAAGGCATGGCAGATGTTGCAGATAGGTGGTTGGAGAAACATGTGAATTCATTTTAGCAAAATGTGGGGTTTTTTCTTCTGGGCCAGCGAAGCTACTTTTTCTGTAGTACCATTGTTAACAATTCCAGGTAGTTGCTTTTTAATTGGTTTATAATTTTGCCTGTGCCCAAACAATAGACTCCTGCAACATAGCATTGCTTTGTCTGAAAAAATACAAGGTATGAACCAATACAGAAGTTAATTGTGATTTAAAATGTCAAATTAGTCATGTCCAACAAAATTATGTATGGTTGGGTGCGTGCATCAGTTTGACAGCTGTTCTATATCTGGTAGTGAAAAGGTAGTAAATGACCAGATACCACAGCCTGGAATATCTGCCTGTATTTCCCACCATCTCTTCTAGTATTCCTGTGGCCTGGTATGTATGTGCGTTGTCCCGTACAGCCCCCTAGTGGGGGATTGGTGAAAGAGGGAATGGAAATTTGCTGGTCATCAGTTGGAAAACCGAGGAAGATAAAATTTGCAAGATTGTCTCCACGAGGAGACCACTGACACTTTTAGAATGCCTAGCACTAGTATTTCCTGGGGTGAATTGGACTTAATATACTTTCAGAAGCACCTGCTCAGTGAGATGTGTCTGGCTTTTGGCTATATAAATCTCTCTCATCCTTATCCAAATGTATAATAAACTGCAGACTGAAGGAGTCCAGTTGTAATATACAGCATGTGATGAATCAGAGAATGTGACACCTGTTTGGTGCCTGCAGTCTTCCAGAAGTCCTTGTTACAGCCGAAAATAGCTTGTTTTAAGATGAAGGGCAAACTGGCTTGGGGAAACATCCATCCTCACACTCCAACCAAAAAAACCCTCAAAACCCCAAACAAACAAAAAATCCCCAAACACTTTTGAAAAGTGTTGTCTATCCCACATATGCAGCGTGGAAGGAGGAAACTCGGAGCAGGGAAGACCAGCGAGGCTGTTGCATAGATTAGTACCAAGTCGCAAAGGCAGGTCGTCGACATCACGAATGCCTTGGACAAAAGAAGAACAAAATTGCTGGCCAGCAACTCCTGATTTTTATGTATCCCTTCTGATACACTTTGACGTGAGCAAAAAAGATTTTTTGGTTTTTTCTTTTCTATTACACTGATGGACTTCTCTGTGCATATTGGGAAGTTTGTTCTCTTAATGTGTGGCCTAAAGAGGTGCATATCCCAAATAAAGTCAAATTAGGGAAAGTTCTTTTTTTGTTGAGGCCAGTACTGCCTTCTAGAACCATACCCTTTTGAGAGTAGTAGTCCTCCATCTTTTTACCACAGCTGGTATTTAGGACCTACCTTCCCCTGTTTAAGCTTCCACTGTGCTATTTGTATGTTGTTGTTTTGTTTTGTTTTTTTAAAAGTTCTTCATTTCTCCTTATTCTCCTACATCCATATTGTAAAGAGAGGGGAAGGGGGGAAAATCCACCACAACCCACCTGCAGGCCGCTCTGAAACAACCACCTTGGGAGTTTTAATGAACTTGTAGCAAGTCCCTTTATAATAAGGAGGAAAAAAGACCCATCTTGTTGCTCAGGCAAAATGTTATCACTTGTTGAAGTGATGACTATCTCTAATTTTGGACTATTTAAAACTTCCTAGATAGAATGATGTTTATGACTAAAAGCTGCTTGGATGTTGCTCAAGAGAAGCATCATAGAGGTTGCCATTTTCTATCACTATATCCCAGGGCTGTTTGATCATGTGTATTAGTGAAGGCATTCTAAAGCTTACCCATTAGGTAGGCAAACTTTGGTATCTTTTCGGGTCAGGTTTGTGAGACCTGTTATAAAAAGATATGGAGAGTGGTTTCTGGGGACATTTAAATCCCAAAGGTTTAGTCGTAAATACCAGTTCACAGTCCTAAGCTTTCTCTCCAACTTAAATATTCTAGAGACAAGGAACCCGAAGAATGCATCTCTTGGGAATAGACTACTTATCTGCTTGTGGTTTTTATACTCTCTAGGCATCATAAAGTCTTTCTGCAGCAGTTCAATGATGTGCCCGTGTTCTTGTTTCCTGGGGTTTTTTGTTTTGTTTTTTAAAACTATCTGGGAAGATGGGACCAGTGTGGCTGTCAAAATCAACTAGCATCAAAATTGGCTCTGCATGCTGTGCTGGATGCCTCTGATGCTACATCACTGGAAAAGAGTGCAGTCGTTAGGATCTTCCCCTTGAGGGCAGTAACTTTTTCCTTAGTTTGAGAACTTGAAAAGTACATTTTTCTCTGAGAAAACATTTGGAGAAAGCAACTTCTTTTTTGTTCGGGTTTTTTTGTTTTGCTCTGTTGTTATTATATAGAGATCTGTTCAGCCAGAAGTAGTGTGCTGAATCCAGTTCTGCTAGGTTAGCCAGAAGTGACATACTGTCTCTACAAGAATGAAGTGTTACAATTTTCTGTAGCTTGTCCCCAAGAGTCAGGGACAGTCAGAAGTTGTTTCAAGGAGTGTGGAAGTAGCCCTTTTTAGAAGTACATTCTTTAGCTACAATTCATCATTATGCCTAGCCTAGATGTGAGAGGATTTTAATCTTTCCTTTTGTTTCAAACTTGTAAAAGGGCTTCTGATATCCTTGAGGACCATTTACAGAGAAAGGCTGCCTTTTGTTTTCTTTTGCTAGGAAACAGTGCTCTCTATTAGGCTGTATGAAACTCTTAATATACCTGTCTTCCCTCTATAATGTCTACTGATGAGCGTGTATTTGAAGCTAACCAGGTGGAGTATTCTTAACTCAGTAATTAGCTTATTTCTGTCTGTCTCTGGAAATCCTTGTTCATGTACCCAAATGTGATTGAAAATATGTGACTGAACCCAGGGAAAATGGCACTAGAAGCTTTGCAGTCAGGAGTTGTTTTACACTTCTGTCCAAAAAGGAAAGTAGATGAGTACAATTTGGAGTTGCACTAATCCTTACTGAATGAAGGTTTGGATGCTCAGTCTTTTTATTTCACAATGCTTTCTGTTGATGTAGGAATCAAATTGGTTTGTGCAGTTGCTTTTCTATTTTTTTATTATTTTTTTTCATGAAATGGTTTACTGAGCTAATGATTTTTTTGGTAGCTGAACGTTGGACACTGTTACCTTTTCAGGGAAATGCTCCTTGGTGTTCTGTAGCCTCACAGTGCTGGACAGTTAGAATGGATCATCATCTAAAAGTGGCATGAGTTTTAACTGAGATGGGGGATTTTCTTGTTTTCATAGGGCTCAGATAAGTTATGATACTAGCTTTCTATGTACTTGACCCTTACCTATGAGAATCTACTTTTTAAAAAGCCAAATGAATTTCAGGCTAGTCAGTGTAATTAGCTGTAGATTTGTTTTTCATTTACTGAAGAGTTTACCTTTTCGATAGAATTATTCAGAGTGAATAAAGATTGTAAATAAAGAAAAGCAGGAGGAAGCTCTTGTGTTCAGATTTGGTTTTAATTGGGGAGAAAAAGGAAGCAGCTGTAGTTCTTCATAAAAACATGTTGAAACTTAACTATGTAATTTTAATTTGCTGAATGTTGACGTTTGTGTGTAGCATACTTTGGCTCTTTCTCAATGCCATTTCTACTTCCATTAAAACAGTTTATTGGGATCCCAGTTTCCAGTGTGCATAAAAATGAGATGTTGTTAATTTTAAATCTGTTTTGATTTTCTTGGGGGGAGAAAACCCCACAAAACAAAAAACCCCCCCACAGATTAAAAAACTGTATAAAATACCATAGCATTTCTTAGTGGCTGCCCTTTTCATTCACTGAAATGATGAGTATTATTTTATGTTTGAAATGAGTATCAAAGTGTTTGGTTTTTTCAATCTTTTGCTTCAGGGTGAAAATCCTTTTGAAATTAATGATCAGGCTCAGGAGCAGCAGACAGAAGAGGAGGACAAAGCTGATGAGCCAGCTGAGGGTGAAGAAGAGGAGGAAGAGGAGGAAGAAGAAACTGAAGAACAAACTGACTTCACTTTAGACCACACCGAAGATAACTAAGTGCAACAAAATGAAAATGTATTGGGGGGGGGCAAAACAGCTTTTTATTTCTGCTCTAAAGTGGCTAAGACTCTTTAATAGTCTCAAATGAAGTTGTTGAAGATTCCCCACCGTATGCATGCATTCCATTCCGTGGAGAACTTGTTTATATAATTCCTCTGTGTTTCTGATTTTGTTTAAAATGAAATTAAGACTATTTTAGTTGAGCTTTTTATAGCAAACTGACTGTTAAAGCTGATTAAAACATTGTGTTGTATATTTTTTTAAGCATCCTATTTTTTTGATGTGTGTATTGAAAGTTGGATATAATAATTTTTGGTCTAATCAGTTGAAAAGAAAGGCAGGTCTGTGGGGTAAATATATTAAATGCTCTATAGCATAAGCTTATATTTACCTCTTAGTACAGAATGAGTAACTTCAAAAGTTGTGCTGTTGAGTGTGGCTGTTTTGGGGACTGCATTGCACTCTGTATAATAGAGTATGTGTTATAATATGCCTTGTAGCTTTTTGTGATAAGATGTACCAGTTTGTAGCAATAAAACACTTAAGAAATGTTATTGTTTAAAGTGTCTATAGTTAAGTATTTCAAGTATTTCCCCACGCTGACTACCAGATTGGTTTCATATCAATATTGATTGATAATATGATTTAAATTATTTAAAATTTGTAGTTGCATCTTAGTGACTCATTGCTGATTTTTGGTGTATTCAGACTCTACCTACCAGGACAGATAAGCACTTTTAGCCTTCATAGTGTACCTTGATGAAAGCATGCTTTCAGTATATTTACATGCTGTGCACTGTTGTGTATTTTAGAAATTACATATAAGTACACCTTTTTTTTTCCCCCACAGTTCCTTCAAATCTGGCTTTTGACTAATAAGAACTAGAAGTCTCTGATTTAACTATTCTGAAGTATAGCTAAGTCATTTGCATAATTTTCCCCTAAATGTGGTAACTTAACAGAAGTAACCATGCAATCTCTTGTGTCAATATGGTTAATTTTTTCAGAATATCAAAGGTGTAATTTGTGCACCTTTCTGTTGGAGAACCTTTGTGTTAATTTGTAGCCATTGCTGTATACAGGTGGTGTAAGCAGAGAGCGGACAGAAGTTAGATAGAATTGAAATACTTCTAATCTCAAATGCAAACTAATTTGCTTTTTCAGTTTATCTATTTTAGAATTGGGGAAAGTGTGCAAGTATTATGGAGGAATACTTGATTGGGCTATTACGCCACCAGAAAATCTAGTAGCAGTCAACTGAAGAATGCTGTGTATTTTAGTCAGCTGTTGTCTTTTTAGCATAGCTTAGAAAGTAGAAAATACAACATCACGAGGAGAGAGAGACAGGAAGGAGAGTTTGGTGCCTTGACCGCTTGTTTTCTATATGGCTTATGTTTTTTCATTTAAAAAAACCAGCGTCATGTAGATTTGATTGTACCTGTAAGTGGGTTAGCTCGGAACTAAAAGTTAGCATGGGTTGGTTGAAAGATGTGTTAAGCCTGCAGCTGGTTGAGCAATATCTCTTTTGGATATGTAAGCTTAAAATAACAAAGTGCTCCCTAGATCTCTAAACACTCATTCTCCATCTTAAGGCTAGGATTAAGGTTCATATTTGCATTACTTTTAAAGTGTAATCTCCCCTTCTGCCTTACGAGCTGATCGCTCAACTATTTATGTGTTCTATTTGTAGATTTCTTGCCCTACCAGAGGAGGATGGTGATCTCTTCCCAGACAACTTAACAGGAACTGTATCAGTATTCTAGGAAGTGGCAAGAGCTTTAGCATGAGAACTTGTATGCAGTAGTTAAGAGAACTGAGGTGCTGCCCAAATTTCTGCAAGTGGTGGGTTTTTTGTCTTTGTCTATGGCTCCTTTAATAGCTTAAGTTGCTTATAAGCAGCTAAGATAAGCCCTTTTACCTAAGATCTCAGTACTTTATTTCCATTGCTGTAGTGATTTTATCCATTGTGACCTAAGGATCTTTGAACTCGTAAGCATTCCTGACTTCACTGGTAATCTAAAATACATAATTGATTTCTGTACACTGATAACACACTTCATGGGTGAGAACTATAGCTTGAATTTAGATGGCAGATTTGGGGGGAGGGAGTGGGTGTCAGCTGCTTATTAAAATGGACAAAATGACCCTTTTCTATAGGCTTAGAAGGGACTTTCAATGGAGTCCCTGGGTCCTGTTTGTAGCTAATGTTTCATCAAATTTAAGTAATTTCCTACATCAGTAACAAAGTATGGAAATAATTTCAGAGGGAGTGATGGCTGCCCATTCCAGATGACACAGACTCCTGGTAAGCTCTGCTACCCCCCAGTTATTCCAAACTGAGTACAGATTGCATTTGTTTGCCTCAGAATCTCAGAAATAAATTCCACAGTTTTAGGCAGTTCTGGATGAAGGTGCGTGCTGGAATATACAGGCATATTTATTTACATGTCCCTGCTGAGACCTTTCCAGTTTCCTTTGCATTCACTGAGGAGCACCTATGTGCTGTTAACTCCTAGACTGTTTATAAGTGTTGGTTGCAGTAACATATGCCTTTCCCTATCTTTCTCTGAAGAACCTTCATAGAATGTTGACCACCTCAAGTGATGCAATTTATAAACCCCACAAACAATTTGGGAGCATAGTTGTATCTGCCATCCCTAAAGACCGGGTAACTAAATGAAAGATCAGTGGAAAACTGGACTTGAAAGGTAGTTGTTGATGGTTTGCACTCCAGATGATGTCTGGCTACTAAGGGTGTTTCTTGGAGAGTCAGTTGAGGGAAGAGCAATTGGGTGGAGTTAAGGCAGCTGGTGGGTATCAGTCCTATCCTGGAACCAATATTGAGAGGCTTGATAAGGGATTCTGTGGTTGGTAAAAAGTGGCATCAGGTAATGTTAAGTATTTTAGGATGTTTAAAAACATCTGTTGGGGAATAAAAAAGGCTGTCCTAGATTACAGGCAAGTCTTTCTCTAATCCTGTTCCAGTGCATGTGCTGTAGAACTCTAGAGTCTTGAGTGGAATCAACAAAGAAGGCGTGGCACCTCTGATCTGAGTAGCCAAAACTGCGTGGACTGTGTCAGGTGAGGATTTACTTTTGCAAAGGAATTGCAAGGATTTGACTTGCACAGTGCTATTTTATTTCTCTTGGAAACACCTTGCTGCGTTTTTACTCTTTTACAGGAAACTGCTTAATGGTGTGTTGGTTCATAGTTGTGCTGGAGAAATAAATACAAGTTGTTCCATGTTGTAACTGCCTCTTTCTGGAGCTAGAGCTTAAATACTTTTGCTCTGAGAAATGTTGAAAAAATATTCTGGGTGGTTTTTGTTTGTGGTTTTTGTTTATGGTTGAACTTGCAAGGTAGCCAGTACAGTACAAAGAAACATGGGCACTAATTCTTGCAGCTTGCACATACTGAATAACTACTATATGTGTGTGTTCTTATGTGTATTGCAGCCCAAATGCACTAGGCTTTTTGTATACAATAATTTTTTGCTATACAACATAACTGTGGAACAATTAGTTTCACACCCATGTAGTATTTGGCTTGTTTTCATGCTATGTAAATAATCAAAATGTTGAAATGAGCCTGTACATTCCCTTGCTTTTGCATTTCCTGTATTGCTTACAGTTAAGAATAAATTAAATCAGCTTTCAGCTTGTTGAAATATTAACTATACATTTTCTTGCTGTCTTCTGCCAACAGACTTCTACACAAAAAAAAAACAAACCACCAAGCTTTTCTTTAAATGCCAATCTAATCTGCAGGTATTTTTCAGACACTGGAATGCCTCCTGCTCTTTTTAAGCAGCATTAAAATAGAGGATCCAGAGCTTTTCTTCAATTGGTTATCCTTGCACTAAATGAAGTCCTCACCACTCAGCTTGTAGAATTGTAGGGAGAAACTTTATTGTAAGGAATACCCATAACCATCAGAGAGTTGGGACTCTCCTAGATGCTTTAAGTTGAAAGGAAGCAAGGAAAGGCTTAGTAAGTCCCACATACTCTTGGATCTAAAGACTGCAATGAAGTCCCTCAAATCATGCAAGAGGATTGAAATTTTACATCAGGTTTGTTAGCAAGGAAGTTTTGTTCCAAGTTGAGTATAAAATGAATAACATATTTGTTTAATTTGTTTTTAAGTTAATTTCTAAAATTGTCTTTAGGTTTTTAGTCTTAAAATATTGTACTTGCTTATAAAATAAGTATAACTGTACAAAGTCCTGCAGCTCAATTCAGCTGTCTTTTTAAACAGATTTGACTGGTTTTAAATACAGCTAGCCGATGAATAAGCCTTTCTGTATAAATAAAAATGTGTATAAACTGAAGTCCAACATCTAAAACAAAAGAGCTTCTGATCTTATTCTACAAATCTAAGCCTTCCTCATCCCATACTTTGGTACTTCAAAGCTGATGCCCACAGGAAAAGGAATAAATACCTAGAGGGTGAACTGGAGCATCAAAATCCGCTGAGGCAACAACATAAAAGAGAAGGCTTCTTAACAAGACCCCAAGACCCCCTACTATCCTCTAATTCTGATTTAAAACAAAGTTTAGCCTGTATGCAGAGGTATGGTTGTCTTTCATTTTTTTGGGGGGGTGGTTTGGTTTGTTGGGTTTTTGTGCCAGGATTGAAGAATACCAAGTGTTACAGGAGAAGAAGGAATGAATAACCTGTTTGCCTTTGTGGTCCCCTGCAGGTCTTCACACCAAATGTGCCTGTTCTTTTGTGGACACTTGCCATCTTCACTCCTCTTTACCCTATACATCTTCCTCATGGACTCTAGAATGTGTATTCCAAACTGTTTCTGTGTTTTTAGGGTTCTCTATATACCCAAGCTATGAAGGTAAGTCAAGAATGTTGGAAGCTTTTCGAGGGGTACAAAAAAAGCTGAGAATGGATAATATGGTGGCAGGAGGAATGTATATGTTGTGAATAAGCACAACCTACTGCATATTTAAGTGAATGTTAAAGATTAAGAGCAGAACAGCTACATGGACTTAGGAAAAGAGACGCAAGCGTCGATGTGCTCCATTTAAAAATTGCATCTTGGTCAATGTACAATCCTCTTCAATCTTCTTACTTCGGAAGTATCTTAAGATAGATGGCCTTCATCACCAGCTAATAATGTTGTGGTCTAGATCCTTTTATTTTCTTTTGTCATCAGTTTGTAAGGTTGCTGTATCATTAAACCATCAATCAGTAAGGTTCCTTCAAGAGTTGCTGTAAATCAGTCTTCCTCTTTTCACACTGAGAGGACAAACATGTTGGACCCTATTTGAATTTCCCAGAACATGGCTAAGATAAATGTGTAGCTACCACACATGTGGCAGTAGACAATTTACAGTAGCCTTAAGATCTAAATGCCCTTTATGTTGTCTGAATATTTTACTCTGTGTTAAAGGCACCCATCCGGCAGCTAATTACTCTGAGGGAGGGGACTATGATGGCAGATCAGCAATTTCATGAGCATGCAGTCGCTGTTTACTTGGAGTACGGTGGCATACTCTGTTAAGGCCATAAACTTATAAGGCTGGAGAGGACCACTATT